GATATGATGAGTGGATAAGTTCCGAATTAGCGATTTGTAACTTATCCTGGATTATTTGCAGATTTCGCACACATTTGTCCATATCGCCGTCTAATTTCACCTGGAATAATTCCGAATGATGTCAAAATGCCACTCATTTGCCCTTTAAGCAACTCTTAGAAGATAAATTTATCGAGGGCTTTACCAGCGAGTGATTGCAATTGTCACTTATTAAAATTCGGACTTCTTTCGAGAATTTCCATTTTTTATAAATTTTTTTATAACGAGTGAATACGGAGGAACCATATCTTTTGATTTTTCTGGCATAAAAACAAGCTTCTTGAGCGGTCGGTTTTTCTGTCCTTCCAAATTCCTTGATCAACATCTACCCTTCCACCCATTTCGCTGGTCATTCTTTGCCCTTCCCGTGTGCCTGCTTCACCTGGCCAAGAGAAATTTGAAACCAAAGAGAATTAGTAATCTTACTAAAGACCCTAGAAAAACGCTTTTTGGGTAATGCCCGACTGCCTGTACAAGTCATTTCGCCACATCTTGCAATCCTCGCAATTCAGTTCCCTCTTGAATTTGAACCTTTGGACCCCATTACTGGCTTCGATTGTAAGGTGCACTACACACTTTCTTGAGAGGAAGAGAGATTAGCAAGGACGAAGTTGTGACATGTAGTGAAGGAGCATGTGAGTAAGCAGTCTGTGTTTCATCCCTTAGCTGTAAACACAGTCAAGGTACGAGTAGGAGTAGGAATCAGCAGTACAGCCTCACACCCGCCATGTGAAGAATGAGCCCATTTGAATATTGGCGAAACCGGAAAAAGAGAATGTTTATTAGAGAAGAAGGAAAAGAAGGATTTAGTGAAAGGAGCACTTCGTAATTAGTTTAAGTGACCAATCGGCTCATTTAGCAGTAATACCAAGTAAGCAATGATAAGGCTTGTTCTAACTTCTCCTTTTAGAAATGAATATCGAAAATGTGCCAAACTGACCGATGCAGTAATGAAGTGACCCAGTTGCTCCACTGAATCCAAGCATATCCGAATATTGTCTTTCCAGAATTCACGCCGCTTCTTTTGGACTGATCCGATTATACCCAGGGCTAAGCTCAGCGTGTTCTGCAAAATGGATTTGTGAGTATCCCAAAGACCATTTTAGAAATGTTTTTTTTCTCTCCGTCCATTGCCCATCAATATAGCTTATAATTAAACTAAAAGGTTGTCATGGTTGCAAATAGCTCTCTGTTAGTAACAGTTTAATCGATTTCAGACCTTCACTAAATCAACATTTTCAATTTCGGCTGAACAGGTTTCGATCAATTCCGGCATTGCAACATCATACCACTCCTCATATATCAGCTGGCCGATGCACTGCAACAAAGACATTGAGACGTTCAGCTGAAAATTATGTGCTTAGAGTGGTATTTGTTAATCGTAAACTTTGACCAAAAAGTTAGCCACTGATCAAAGAAAGCATTCATATTAGCTCCAGCTTGCCACATCCTCGCTACTTTTAATGCGAGCCAAGCAAAATTCAGCAATGACAATTTGAAAATCGATAGTGTTTTGAAACAAATGAAGTATAGTGCTGGTGCTAGGACAAGGGGAGGCG